CCCAACATTTACATGTTGTGATTTGTAGTGAATCTCTGAAACACACTGAAGACCTAAAGAAAATGCACTAAATTCTTAAAGGGGCACTCTTCAATTTAGTTTGTTTTCATGAAGTTGAACAACTTGCAACAGACTTTAACAGATTGAAATATTGTCAAAATAGAGACATAACAGAGATTGAGATATCTGTATATCATACACCTCGATTAACTCCAGCGTCTGCAAAGGTAGAATCTCTTATATTCTGTTATTCACTCCTGTTATACTTTATACAAAAGTGAAATAACCTCACAATTACATAAATCGTGGACAATAGTAACTGACTTGCTGTGGAGAATAATTCAGGGCTGAATATCTGTCTGTGTAGATGTTTTCAAAGAGGTTAGGGGAAAAAGAGGTTTGTTAGAACTTTTTACCGTCATAAACGACATCAATTCATCCAGATTTGTGAATGTGATAACTTCAGAACAAAGTGATTTAGGATCTTCAAATTGATACCATAGGTGTAGTTACTAAAACTCTCAGACAAGTTTGAATCTCTTTGAACTCATAGTTAGGGTCAGAGGTCAAATTTTCTGAAAATCTTGCAAATACGATGCAATAATCTGCTAGGAGGCAGAGGGATACCACTGGCCACCATCAGCATGTTTTATTGTGTCTGCAGTATTTGGCCTGCATGTGATCATTTTCTTTGAGACAATAACCTTCAGTAACCGTACAGTGTTATAACTGGTTACATTGCAGCTTATGTAATATCGCTCTCAACTAGTTGCAGCAGATAGTTGAGCTTAGTTCTTTCAGACGTTTCTTCCTGTTAAAAAAAAGAGTTCTTCTTTCCCACTGTCATCAAGTACTTCCTCAAAATAGGTCTTTTGACTGCTAAATTTTAATATTTACACTGGACCATAATTTGATACATTTTGTATTTACCGTCTTTTGCTTCCGTTTGGTGTCGAAGTTACATTGTGTGTGAAATGGAGTCTACACACACAATCCACGCTCTCTATAGTGAATGTTTGCAGGTGCATCTTTGAGGATGGAATTAGCAGAAAGATATACGATACAAATGAGGATTTGTTGGATTTTTGTGAGATAGAAAAAATGAGAAAAAAATATGTGAAGTTTAAAATTAATAAATTACTTATTTGGAAGTGTGTGTAAGTAATTTTCAAATAATCAAAACTTGACACATGATACTCGTTAAAACCAAAAACTACTGTTTGTGAGGACTATACATGACTCTGACTCTTTTCACAGCATTAGTCTTTTTTCCCAAACCTGAAAAAACTTGGCGGATGCAGCAATTTAAAAAAATAAAATAATCCTGCAATTTACACTTCTTCCACTAATGCACAAAGCTGCAAACACTGCAGCTTTATTTACAGCTCAGTCCAGAGCGGCTGTTTCATGGGACCGACAGGCGTTACTGAGGTCTTACAGTAGGTCGAGGTCACTGATGAGGACAGTGTAGCAAATTAAGGCCTAAAACCGAACCAACATGCTCTGTCTTGTGATTTGTGACTAGTAAACATGTGGAGGTAGGAGTGCCCCTTTAAGATGACTTAGTAAAACATTAAGAGGCAAATTTATTATTAATATCTATAGATAATAGGGGTGCAACAATACTCGTATTGATATTGAACCGTTCGATACAGTGCTTTCGGTTCGGTACGCATATGTATTGAACAATACAAAATCTTTTATTTATTTTTTGAAGTTTTCTTCTGACGATGCTGTCTGTGTTGAGAGCTCAGTGGATCTGCGTTCGACTACTGAGCGCAGCGCAAGCTAGCAAGACAGAAGCTAAGCTCGTTGCAACATGGCAACTGCCTCAACGCTACCC